TAGACAATGGAAGAAAGATGTAAAGAATGGTTATCAACTTTTTCTTTGCTGTATCGTATATTAATCCTCCAATTTCCTCGTACTTCTCTTAACACTGTCCTCCAATGAGGCATAAATTTTACTTTTAACTTTGAAAAGCGTTGATCGTACGAACACTTTTAGTATGAAGAGTATCGTACTTAATAATGCTTTGATCAAACACCAACCTGTGTCAACAACTTTGAAGTTTAGAAGAAGAACGTATATCAAACTATTCCTTAGAAATTTTCCAACATTTTATTATATCCGTATGTGTCTTTAATATTGGCCTTTTCAAGGCAGACTATTTTTATCTCATCGAGTGCGGGAGGTCATGGGTTCGATCCCCAGTCGGGTCCAAACAAATACTTTAAAATTTTTATTACCGCTGATCCGCCTACTGGTTCGCGACATTTAGGAGAAGGAGTAAATACTCGGATTCCGAATAAAATGTCCATTTATAGATCCTTGTGGCAACCCTTTAAACATTGATTCACAATAACGGGAATGAGAACATACTTCAACACACTTTTTTTCTATTATATAGTTAAAAAATAAAGCTGTGTTTTGTATACTGTTTGTATTTTGGTCTTTGTCTTCTTTTTTTTATCATGGCGTTGTCAGTCTATTTTCGACTTATGAGTTCGAATGTCCCTTTGGTAACTTTCGCCTCTCTTTTTTTAAATAACTTTACTAAAGATTAAGAGATGAGGGGGAGACAAACAAATTATTTTTAGCAAGAGAAGGTTATTGGGTAGGCAATCGAAAGCCTTGGACAAATCTATTAATATTGCCACTACATATTTAATATGTTGATATGAAGCCTTTTTTCCAGTCTTCTACTATTTTTTATAAAGGTGATTGTCATATGTATCATTTTCGAAACACTGACAGAAAAGTGTGAAAAATGTGACCCTTTATTAGTCGAGAATGGCTTGAATGTTAACCAAAAATTCTTGCTGTTAAGTCCTCTTACACATCTTTCCAGGAAATAGTTTCTGATTGATTTCTTTTTTTTTTTTTCAAAACCAAATTTCATTGTTTTCAATAAGATTCGCTTTATTCAATTATTTTTACAATTTGATATTTATTATACGCCATCCTTTTTATATATATATTTTCCTACATATATTTCCTATATTTTTGTCGATTACGTTATAATAGTTATTGACCAAGCAAGTCGGTATATGTCATTTAATCTGCACGGCTCGGGTAACCCTACTTGACCCGAACGACGTAGGAGTAACAATCCAGTGGTTCATTGTCGTTTGTTGCTGTCTGTCATGTTTTTTTTTGTTTATTGTTTTATCATAAATCAGACCGTTGTTTTTCTTGTTTGCATTGTTTTACATTGTGCCATGTCTCTTATAGTTTGTTATTCGGTATGGGATTTGATCATTGTTGAAGGGCGTGCGGTGAACTATAGTTGATTCCATCAACGTCATTTGGTCCCTGGTGGATAGTTTTCTCATTAGCAATCATACCAGATGTCCTTATTTTTTAATTTAATTTAACGCTGAACGTTATAAAGTCACCCATCATCATTTTCCTCACGTGTCTATTATTGGTATCAATATATAGAAAATAAAAGTATTTGAAAACCATGTTTTTAGCGTGACATTTATAAATATGCCTTTATTATCTGTCAAGTATCTATTGAAATAAAGAAATACATGTTTTATACAGTGACACTTCTACACCATGCAAACTACAAATGCAATAAGAGCAAGTATGGATAAATTAAGTGAACACATCTTTTTTTATACAAATAATATCCGCTTATTGTTTAGATGTCAACCATGGATTCTGTTAACTGCCAAATATAACTTTGGATATCATTATCTAGATGTGGGGAATGCGAGTTAATGCAACAGCAACCCGACGATTAAAAATAACCAAAAGACATCTAGAGGGCAACATATGGACCTGTTTGTTTACTCTTATTTTTGCCCAGCAACAAAACAATAAAATGAGAACAACAGATATGCAAAATCTTTTTAATGTAAATGTTTCTGTTGGCTCTCTATCCTACCACCCTTAAAAGTCTTCCGTGGTTTTTTTTTAAATACCAATTCGATTTCAAAGTGTGAGCGAAATCACTTAAAATATTATTTAGTATTAAGTTATTTTTAGTTGCTCATGTACTTAACTTTGGAGATTTCTTATATCATAATATACAATGTAATTAAATTTATGTTGAATTATTGGTAACGCTTGCAAAATTTTGATTCCAGATTTTCTTTTACAGATGCTTATTGTTCTAACTTTAGAGTCATTAATTTTTCGAGAATCCCCTGTCGAGTGAAGTTAGCCTAAGTTGAGAACATAAAACTTATTATAACATTAACGTTACCAATTTTACTGTATATATATAACTTACGTTTGTACCTCTCAGAATCGAATAGCACATGTATGGCGATTTTGAAAAATAAATTAAATTAACAGGACAGTTGTGATAAGAGCAGGTGATTGTTTGGCCCCCTTATTCTCCGAAAATAAATAATTTTGCTGATTTCATTGATAAATGAACAAGTAATTATATAGTCCTGACACATTAGTGCAAAACGATTGCTTGTGATGTCATAAAGTTGACAAAATCGACAATGTTGATATAAGGTAGCCACTTTAAACATAGTTTTTGGACAAAATAGATAAGGATTAGATATTTTTTTACACATTAACACCTTTATTAAATACATCTTTTAGCAAAATATCTTTTTGGATAAAGCCTTTACTCTTTTCTTAATATTAATGACAATTCTCAAAACTGTGATGCCACTTTGGCAGTTTTGTAATTTTGAGACAATTGTAAGAAGTTTGAAGCCCTAATGCAAATATGTAAGACAACATTCAAAATATAAATACTGATGTCTCACGGAGTAATTCTGTCTTATGAACATCTGAATGATGTTATATGATAGATTTATAATACTTTTTTTGATTTTCGAATCCAAAGCTTTATCATATATACCTTCTCCAAAGCGCATTTCCTTAAAGAAATATCATAGTCTAAAGTCCGGGAATGAGACCACTCGACCATGACTGCTAACATAACCGTGTTAATAAAATTTATACTTTTACTGCGCTTTTATTGGCATTTCGTGTCAATATAAATAAGATCAAATACTGTATCGGTTAAAAAAAGAGACGAAAGATACCAAAGGGACAATCAAAATTTGTTAGTTAAAGAGACATCGACAAAAACAAAAAACGACGAAAAGACCAACAAAATTTACAAAAAAAACATTGCATAGCAATTAAACTAAATATAAAATCCAAATGCAGGATTGACATCAAAACATCATAATTCATAAAATATGTAAAATAGAATATGTATGCAACAAACACAATGTGTCAATATGTTCAGTATATTTCTTCTACTTCTACTTTGTAGTGACCGCCTTCAACACGTTGAAGTTTATGTCACTTGTACTACACTACAATTACAACGCCCATAGACAACATATTCTCATAAAAAAAGTCTAGTATATTTCATTTAGGCTAATAAAAACCAAACTACAATATCAAATTTGATGCCCACATGACAGTGTCATGTGCTGAATACTCTTGCCAAGTTTAAGTTAAACATGTGTGCATATATGAATACTAAAATATTCCTAAAGAACACAAAACATATGATAAAATAATCATAAACTTGTCAATACACATACTCAAGAAAATTCTAGTACATTTCATTTAGGCTAATAAAAACCAACAAATTACAATATCAAAATATCAAATTGGATACCCACATGACATTGTCATGTGCTTAATACTCTTGACAAGTTTGAGTATACATGAATACTGCAATATACTAAAACAAAACAAAACATATGATAAAAGTAATCATTAACTTGGCAATACATTAACTCAATCAATTAACATTGTTCATTTATATACAGTATATATATTATGGCTGGTTTTTTTTTACTTTAATGTTGTCGTTCTTTGTGTTAATTATTTCATTTTACACACATTCTCTGTTAACTGTTGGAAATGGACCTTTCGAAAACCAAACTTGTGATAATAATCACAATTTAACCATATGAAATAAAGTAGTACTATTAATCGTATCGCAATACCAAAATAAAATATTATTGCATGTTAAATTTTCTAAAAAAGAAAAAGAAAAAAAAAGAGAAAACGGATAAAATTCTCAACGCTGTTCACACATAAACACATGATATATTGCATGATATATCGGAAAAATTGTCTCTCTTTTCGGATTTTTCTTATCAAAATCATCCAGAAACCTTCAATCAAATTTAAAGAGAATCCTACAAAAATAGAGGAGGTAGTGTGGCGATAAAACATAGTATTGGTTGACTTTGAAAGCCTTTTCCGCTCAAAATAGTGCCCATTTCAAATGTTTCTGAGTGTCTAACTCATCTATGGTTATGATGATTGGAAACCTTCATCCAGATTTGAAGAGGATGCGACAAAAAATAAAGGTGCTATCAAGGCGACATCAACGTAGTGACGGACGACCGGGTCAAAACCATTTTACCTCAGCAAATACAGTACGTTACTATGGGGTGTTGCTGTTTTACAATAAAGTCTAAAATGACAGCTACTGTCGTGACCTTATTTTTTTTACCTCTAAAAGTGACACAAAATACATATTTTATTTCCTGTAATTAAAATAATATGTATGGGGGTAAGCAACAATCTAATACTTATATTCCGGTGTAAGATTCGATCTCCCGTTTATTCAACATGTATCGTTCTATCTGAACATACACTTATGTTGCCTATCGTCACCGCGTTGGTAAGATATCGAAAAAATACATATTCTTATATACACCCATTAACTAAAGCATAATTAATTCTTCTGTTTTAAAATAATATTTTTGTTTTTATTATAGCCAATAATTGCGTTTTCTTGGTAATATAACAGAGTCTCTAGTAATAGTATATATCTAGCAGCTTTGACCGTAGATACATGTACCCTACAATAGTAGCAATAATAAAAAATATTAAACTACAATATTAAACTTTCTTTAATTTTCATATGCCTAAATATAGATGTGAACCGTATTAATTCCCACACATTCAAGAATAAAAAAATAAAATTGAAATTCTTTTTAGATACTTCTATTGATTTATGTTCCAAATTTAAAACCGTGTTTTAGTCAATTCAGAAACGATAATCAACTTGCGATTAAAGGTTCTTGTTGATTTTCCTTTCTATATCCACTACTTCATATAAATTCTCTGCATTTGTTGTCTTGTTTTTTCTTTTCATTAATATTGCTGTTATCTTGTTTTACAATTTCTTTTTTTACTAATAAGCTACAGCTTTTAAAACAATAAGAAAATAAAAATATCATCATAAAACGTTGAATATTGATGTTATATAAGACCATCATAATTACTATATACAAACAAACAAAAATAAAATGTAATATATTCAATTTGAATGCTCATAGTTATTTTCTATGCTTCTTTTTCCATTCAATATACATATCCACTTCTGCATCCATACATTTTTGGTTTGCTAACTCATATGGACACCCTGTCTTCCTCTGGTGGAAGTATATGATTGCCTCCTTATGTAAAACAAAGGTCACATAGTGGTCAGCAAAACTGAAAGTGAAATAACAAGAATTTAAACTTTAGTATGTAATGGTTATACACTGTAATTCCTATCTTTTTGTTTGTAAAGTCAGTTTAAGACATTGACGTTTTTATACATTTTTGCAAATGTGAAAAAAAAAACTATAACCTTCTGCGACTTACCATTTATAAATAATAACAGAAAACAGCATTTGTATTGCAAAACTTAACATACTTTACTTAGCAGACTGGGTATATATATATATATACCATGCCGTCAGTATATCCGCCCATCTAAGGCTGCATTCGCGGCGCTTTGTCCAACGTTTTCGTATATATATACCCTGTGGTTGTTTAATTGTTCCTTTCATAAAAATTGAACTATTTTGATGAAAAATAATGACCAAAAATTGGCCAAATTATTTCATACAAGAAATAGAGTGATTTCAAATGGCTTCAAATGGAACTATGTGCCACCAATGCGAATGTTGCTGTATTAGCTCCCACATTAACCCATTAGAATTAAAAATTGCCTCTGATGGTTATGTGTTTTATGTCATAATAACTAACAGAGGAAAACTTCAGAACGACCTTTTATTCATTATTCCCGCCATTAGTTTGGTTCAAATTGTCAGTGTAAATTGTCTAACGATCAACGAAAAGCGATAACTTTAGCTAAAGATCAAGACGAACGAGACAATTTATATATGAGTACCTCTTTATTATATAATGCTTAAAAATATTCGTAAGAACCTAACTATCTATAAAAACATGGCCTTTAATTGACATAATAATATAATTTTCTGGTATAACTCGACGTTTCAGCCATGCACTAGTTAAACTTACAACTTATATTCCAGGAAAATATTTTGAAGTTCAATATGTGTCAGCTTCCTTATCCTTCTGCCGCCGAATCTGAAGGGCTCGTGATGATTGTACACCAAATTGTCTGTCAGATATTTGAGCAGAGCACTAATAATCTTTAAAAAAAAAATTATATATATATTGTAGATTGTTCTGGTGAACACGATCAATGTATAACCCAGGCTTTAAAGGAGCTGTCAAATTCATGTTCACCGATTTGACTCAAATTCTCATATTTGATTTATAACATACTAAAACGTATATCCAAATTACAAAAAGTCTAAAATTAACAATTAACAATGCGTGGACTCGATAATATTCATCAGGATTTCGTACGATTTTAGTCTAGACTCCATCTAATTAACCATCGAGATGACCTCCGAAGACTGCCGACGGTTATATTACCCGATTTAAACATAAATATAAATAGATAGCGAGCACGTGCAATTTGATTTTTTCTAGGTCTGTTTGATTTCATGTTAGAGGTTAAAAAATTTGTTAATCATAATTTTGTGTGGCTAGAATCAGTCAACGAAATGGTTCACCCTTGTTTCACGTTCAATGTTGACATTCTTTTCTTTTTAATAGCTGAACACGCCTAGTACATGCGGAACCCATCTCCAGCAAAGGGGTAAAGTTGAAGGTCACATGAATACGGATTCACATGAGGTTGAATTATTGAATTATCAATAATACATCAGCGATGTTTTGAGCTTATTTTGACAAATTCGGGCCAACTGACTGCTTATAATGAAATATTATTTCAAAATTCCGCTTTTATTAATACTTGAAACAAAAAGAATCGTATTTTAATTGTTTTTCTAAATCGTAGCTAATGCCCCTTTAAAAGACTAGGTACAGTACCGAAATATTTTATCTGAACCTGGTGAATCACCAGTAAAAGTGAGTAACATTCACTAATAACGCCAATTTTTTTTATTATATATTCATTTTTTTTTATAATTTAGAAGTTTAACAATTTGGTCATTTGGTTTAAAACTAAGTTGAAACATTAATTTTGAAGTGCTGCCCTTAGGTGAATTTAGGTCAATTTTGTACAGCTCCAAGTGTTGGTCTTTAACTTTCCCGAGTAATGAAGTATTATGAAGAAAATAAACGCCATAAATTTTGAATGTGTTTTTCATATTACACTTTTTACAGCGAAAACCCGGTTTACCTTAAGATCTGATGGATGCCAAATAAATCATACAGATTTTCATCTCCCTGTTATGTGCAAGAAGTAACTTGCAGTTGCTTTCTTACGTCGAGTGACAAATATTTTAGCCACATTTAAGAGGATAACATATTTAACAGTTCATCAATTGGGTAGTTTCTGTGGGCAATTATAAAGGGTCGAAAAGGAAAACTGAAAAAAAGTGAAATGTTTTTGCACTGTCTGAAGACTGGATAATGCATTCAATGAATGTTCGCGTTTCTATCATTGTGTATAAAACAGTCAAACAGAAAGTTACTCATGTCACCCTTGCATGTGTAAACAGTATGCGGTGGTTGTCCTTTTACCTATAAACATTTACAGCTAAGACCTTTCTTATTTTCATCATGGTCTTTTTTTGTTCTTTGATCATTGGTCATTTGGTCATTGCATGCAGCATTTTTCAACACTCATAGGTTTTAACAAGTTGAAAAGCCAACGCTGGTTGGTTTAAACCAGGATGCATACCTTTTGAGAAATTACTCCGCAGCCAAAGGCTAATCTTCTCCTCTCTCTATTGACTATCATTTCAGGGCTGCCAATAAACTGATGGTGGCGCTCATGATCAGCCTCATCACTACAAAGCAATTACTGAAAATTTTTGAATCATATCAACTGCAATATTAATATTATATTGATTGATTTTTTCTTTTGAAATTATCGAGGTTTATATTTTTTCATCATAAAATTGTTTCTCCTTGAAACAATGTATTATACAAAATTGGTTTTTGTAGGTAAATTCTAAAATCTAAATTATTGAAAGCTATCATTAAGCATATACCATAACGTCATAGTGTAAATTATTTTTACATAGAAGTGTTATCATTTATCAGCAAAAAGTGCAGATTTTGACAATTAAACCAGAAAAAGAAAAGATAGAAAAGCGATTCATATTGCCATACAAAAGCAGTGATAAGGTATTAATTTGATGACAGAAAAATAGAAGCAATTAAGATTTCATTCCAAATCCATAACTACAAAACATCTTCTGAAAGTGTTACTGCATCTGGAAAATTTGAGATATTGACACTTTTCCTGGTTTATCAAAACGAATTGCTCTTTTTAGAACAATAGAAAAGATAAAATTGTTATTTATTACTTCTATGTAAATCAGATGTAGTCGTCTCATATCTGAGGGGCTAACCCCCCTCAGATATGAGAAGCTTACATCTTATACATACCATCACGAGGCTAACGCACTCAGGAATATATGTCAGTGATACCTATGCTGTCTGCAAGCTTTAGTGGCTTTATGCACCGTGACATTAGAAGGATATCAAAGTTTTCAACAAACTTTTTTTAAAATTAAACATCAGACGTGCATTGTCAGTGGATATAAACCGGAAAGCATAGCTTGTATATCTGATATCACCAACCATTATGTACTGTTAGTACTTAAATGTCATGCATTTAATTAAATGTTGACTCACCAATTACTGTTCTCACAGTGCATGATTTCATTGACATAAGTCAGCATCCGCATTTTCTGAAAAAAAAGTAAAACATGTATAAATTGAAACTTTAATATGTTAAAGATTTTAAAGTAGACCTAAAAAGGTTTCTATCATTTACCGGGATCTTTGCCATGGTCTCAGGAACTGTCACTCTCAAACCTTGTAATAAGTTCTAACGGCGATTGGCATAGAATTGTACTGGATTTTTTCCCTGCATTTTGATAATAGAGCCGTCCTTAAAGATGTACCAATTTGCTTAGGGAAACCACAAAAATAATTCGGACCAAAATACAAAATTGGATGTGCACAATGGCATTTATATGGTTCAGATTTTGAGAAAGTGTTATTAAATCATGATTAGGGATTCAAGGAAGAGAAGTCGATACAAATATGTACTATAGTGTGCAGATATGACAAAGTCCATGTCAATGCGTCATAAAGTAATCCCCAATACTCATTCAGATGAATAAATTAAATATATAGGAAGTGCAAAAGTACATAATTTGAGTAAGACTCGGTGTAAATCTTACATGAATCTGTCAATCGGTCCAGGAGCAGTTGCGCATACAAAAGTGGGACAGAAAAAACAGACGGACATTCGGACAGACCCCTCCATCACACTATATCACCCGTTTAAGAAAGTTCGGTTACAATAGACAGTAGGGGTATAATAATGTAAGGAGACTATTTTTATATCGATCGGCTTAACTGTTGTTCACATTTTCAAAGCTCAACCCTTAGCAATAGTATGATAACTTTAATATAACTTATACTAATGTTTGCATTTACTTACTTCAAAATCTGCAAATTCCATTGAGAAATCTGAAGATAAAAAAAAAGAATTGTAATTTTGGACCTGCTTTGAATGAATATAATGACAAGTGTACTTGTTTTCTTTGTACATAATATGCCATTAAAGGGATTGAAATTAACAAAAAATTACAAAAACAATTGAGAAATCTTGACATATATCTAGGACTTAATATCTAGAAATAATTCCATACCATATAGTAATAGAACATGATTGCAAAATTTTGACAAACTACAATGAGTTTTATCCACATAAAATAAATTTTCGTTCTATTCTTATTGAAAATAATCCTGAGTTCTCTTGCATTTTATAATCTTATAGATATATATATTTAGGGAATGATCTTTACTTAAATCTTTATGTGAATCAAGAAAATGGAGCACAAGACAAAGATTACCTTCATCTATATCTTCATCTTCGTCTTCACTGTCTCCAACTTCCTGCTTATCTGGACTGTCTTTATTTAGCTGTAGAAAAGATAATTAGGAAATTGTGTTAATACTTGTTTTTGTATGTTTTCATATAACTGCGTAATCTTTCAGGCAACGAAATAAGCAACAACGCCGTATGTCTCATATATGTCCTTTGGACCAACTTAAATTGAGCCGGACCCGAATTGTATGGTGGAAATTGCACAAATATAATATTTCATGAAGGTGTATACATATTTATAAACATTTTGAGATGTTCATAAATTCATAATACTATTACAATATTACAAAATAATTTTCCAGAGATATTTTAAAGTAAACCCTACTCTTCCTTTCTCCCTTAATATCTACCAGGGTGTTTAACGACCTTGACTACCCACGAGGGCCTCGCACGGTCGGTCAATTAACATATTTTATGCACAAATATATTTATCTTACCTACACTACTAGGAATATCATTGGTTAAAAGCGAACACGTGGAAACCGTGTACATTTACTATAATGGAGTGGTCGTGTTTTATTTTAAATCAAGTTAAGGCACGGTCTGTGGGCGTGGTTTATTTTAAATACATGTAGAAGTTCTTTGATATTACATTGTTATTGTTGGCATTTGTTTTTGTACACGTCAATGCAAGTAGGTTCTTAATATTGAAGACTTGGTCCTGTTATATTCCACCTTACACCAAATATTGCTTTAGTGATTCATAATGATCACTATAACAAAAAATGAAAAATATCTATAATTCTTTTACAACTTCCTCTGAATTCACCACATTAAGATAGTCGGTAAGATAAATTCGTTACAAAGTATGCTAGTGAATTTTAAATACGATATATATTCGCTCGCTCTCGCCCCATATTGAATTTACTGACCCAGTATATATCGTATTAGGTCAGCCTTGGACTATTATACTAACCAATATATTATGTCCTAGGTGTAACTAATAATATATATGTGCATCTTACTTACATATTATGAAATCAAATAAGTTTTATTTTAAGTCGGCAAGTTAAATAACAATACAACATAAGCTCTGAGCGAGATTTTGAAACGACATACATTTAAGAATTGAATGCTTCTTTTCATAATTTCATTGGGGTGTAAAAGCGTTGACCGAAGCACATTTTGTAGGAAGCGCTTCATATTAAAAATGTGCGCACGATCAACGCTTGGTGTCATCAACCTATGCCAACATTTGAAAAATATATATTCATCCTATGCCTACATACCAAATACAATGGGTGTTGTTATAACAATTAATAATTAATTACAGGTAAAATACAGTCAGTATTTTAAAGCGTTAAAATTACTCCTTTAAAATTAGAAACAACAGTTAAATATTTCCAAAATTATGTTGAAGTAAATATGAAATTTGAAAATAATAGACAAAAATACACTTCTGTATGGTAAAATACTTGCAAAATTTGTTGTTCTAAATATGAAATTAAAAAAAAACAAACAAACAAACAAAATTAAAAAAGTAATAAAAGTGAAAAATAAACCCATTTTATTTGTGATTTTTTTAAATACAAGATTTGTTCACTTATGACATGTTGCTGAGTCTCCAATAAAAAAATTCTATTAAATCTGATTCATGTTCTATATTTAAATTAATTTTTTTTTAAAAGTTGCTAACGCCCTCATATGTGTATCTAATACAAAAAGAAGCATTTAATTCTTATAATTACATTTTTATGCTACACCCATGAAATTAAGAGTTATATCAAGCTTTTCGTTTGTTTTCCGATGGATTAGTTTAACATTGTCACGGATAGCACGTGCAGTCATAGCTGTTGTATTTTATACGGAAATAAAATATGATATTGGAGTGTCTCGCGATTGTTATCAGCCAATCAAAATTACGGATTCTAATGAAACATACATGTTATGTAATTATAATAAATTAAAGACATGCATATAAAATTGAGTACGTGCAGACACAATAGGACAAAACAAGACATACAATAGTTTACACATACACTATTGTTATGAGACCTGGTGCGGAGTTCAATTGAGAGAAGAAAAAAAGAACTTAGTGAAAAGAATGTCGTTAAACTTTGGTAAAGTTATTAAGGCTTAATTTGCTTTTCATAAGGTTACTTGCACTACAAACATTTTCTACTTACTAAAAATAATAACATATTACGGGCGCATTGCATTTGCGCCATTTTTTTTTACAAAATTCAATGTTTCATTTGCGCCAAAAATTAAAACTACATTTTTGCCATTTTACAGGTAGCATATATAACGGAAAAATTTAAATATTCATTGTATCCTGAAAAGGAAATTTTGTAAAGCATTTCCCCTGGGTAATAAAGTGAATTTATACTCATATAATACAAAACTAAGTGTGACTTAGGTTTAAAATTGTATAGTGTTCACATGTCACATGTCACGTGTCTGCACCAACTGAGGATTTCAATAGAACCAACAATGGACCAGAATCGCTCCATGCACATTTTAACTAGCAGTTTTATTCAAAACGTCAAAACATTTTCATTTATGTGGACGTAGTAAAGAATATTCAAGCAACAACGTACATAACAATGAGATGCAGTTACACGATGGGAGAAATCCAAATGGACTATATTTTGCAGAAAAATAGTATGCGCCTAAGAGGCGAAATTTCTCTCCATGAATAAATCCGTATTACAAGTTTTGTGTCCGAGCAGACTTATAACTTTGCTTCAGTGTATATAGCTGTCACTGTGGTTTTTATTAAAATTCTTTGTTCAACATATCTAATATTATGTTATTTACCTGTGTTATTGGCGCAAATGAAATGTTTTATTTTGGCTCAAATGAAATATGGTTTGTGGCTCAAATGAAAGATTTTTTTTGGCGCAACTGAAATGCCAATTGGCGCAAAAGCAAAGCACCGCATATTACTGCACCAATTGTTTTAAAATATGTTGATAACCGTTCTGTTTGAATTCACTTACCTGTTTAACGTCGATTTTCATTTCAGAACTCACTGACAAATCTGAAACAAAACAAAATCTAACTATACATTGATTCGAGCTATATATTTCCTTAATTAAGGAGAATGTAATATAGGCAATTGGGGTATCATATATATATGTCAGGGCGCCTTAAGAGTTGCTTGGTTTTTTTTTCCAATTAATTCTTGCATATTAAAAAACATTCAAAAGTTAAAACAGTAGCTATTAAGGGACATCCCGTGAAATTAAATACAAATTTCGCTCGCTCTCTCCAATTTGAGTACATAAAAGTCCGGATAACAAGTACAAAAATATGATTGACCTAAAGGAATAAACTTCGTTCAATCGCAAATGCATTTTGTAAGCACTTTTGAACGCGTTACATAATGTATACGAAGAAATAAACTCTGAATCAAACTAGATCATTGAAGAAAACGTTTTAAATATTTTCCAAACCTTACATTAAAAGTTTTATTTAAGAAAACTATGCATCAGCCAGAAGTCGGCCGTGGGAGGGGAGGGAGCATCTCTGTCTTAATGATTTATTGTTGTTTGCAGTGGCCAACTGTTTATATGAATGTATAAACAAATGTGCTACTGGGTTGGGTCACTTTTTATGTCAATTATATCAATGGGCGGACATTTTTTTATTTCACCGAGGTTTTATATCTATGGATAGTAACTGATATGTTAGTTGATCGTGAGTATTTCCTCATTTAAAAGTCTGCAAATTGAGCATGCTCTTCGTTCTAATCAATACGTGTGACAGATTCATGTGGTCTACTTTTATTATCTGCAGAAACTTTTATTGGCACATTTAAATGTAATGAAAGAACCTTAGTGAGCGCGCTCACATACCCCACGTCCCCACATTGTCATTGGAGAAATAAAATAAGTGTAAGAAAAAAAAATTGTATCAGAAAAAAAAATTGAATCATAATTTCCTGTAAATATGCACATCTACATAGTATGTCCTTATTATCTACACAGTTTCATGAAATTCTGTTGTGTGGTTTGAGAGGAGTTGCGATGACAAAAGGTTGCAGTAGTATATTGGGCAAATAAGTTAAAAGGGGCGTAACTCCTGGAAAAAAATTGAATCGTAATTTCCTGTCGATATGCACATCTACGTAATATGTCTTTATTATCTGAAAAGGTTTCATGAAATTCTGTTGTGTGGTTTGAGAGGAGTTGCGATGACAAAAGGTTGCAGTAGTATATTGTGCAAATAAGTTCAAAGGGGCGTAACTCCTAGAAAAAAAATTGAATCGTAATTTCCTGTCGATATGCACATCTACGTAGTATGTCCTTATTATCTGTAAAGGTTCATGAAATTCTGTTGTGTGGTTTGAGAGGAGTTGCGATGACAAAAGGTTGCAGTAGTATATTGGGCAAATAAGTTCAAAGGGGTGTAACTCCTAGAAAAAAAAATGAATCGTAATTTCCTGTCAATATGCATAACTACATAGTATGTCCTTATTATCTAAAAAGGTTTCGTGAAATTCTGTTGTGTGGTTTGAGAGGAGTTGCGATGACAAGAAATAGGACTGACGGACTGACGGACAGACAGACAGACGGACGGACAGACGGACGGGTCAAAAACATTATACCCTCCGCAACTCGTTGCGTGGGGTATAATTAAGATATCACAGATTGTACATATGACAACTGAGAAATATATGCACTTTTAAAGATTTGCTTTTAAATGCGAAATTCTCTTCAAAGTAGATAATTCTAGATTTGAAAGTGTAATGATTTTATTCCGTGAAATAGATATATGGGTGGGAATTCATAAAGTTTTTTAATATTTGAAGGAGCGAGGGTAAACCAAAGCTTCACGTCTGTATTTAAAAAAAAATAGTTTGAGAGCCCCTCCCTGTTCCCGTGACACCAGTAAGCAGAATTCTTGTTTACTTTGCAAGAAAACAACATGCCTGCTTTGCCTTATTACAGTGAATATACATTGATTGAAACTCCTTATATTGAAATTCTTACTTACTTAAATACTGTACCTACCCAAAAATTAACCAACAATCGGATTGACTTTTAGCTTTGTCTCTTCATTGAAATATACCCCACATCTCCCTTTGTTCGTACGATAGAAATTCCTAGTTTCTGGTAGATGGACTTCAATCGTTTTGCAACCTACTGTAAAGTCTTTTTTATTTTACTTATAGAACTTTCATGTGAAGACAATATTTTTGTACAATATATTTTTGAATACTAGTATGTTACCTTTTATACTGTCCTCTTCATCATTTTGTGGATCGTCATCCTCATCTGTATTTCTAAGATTGTCTTCCACAGACTAATTATATAACAATTCAAAGTATTAACGTTTTTACATTTTTTTGTGCATACATAAAGCTCTTTGCGGTTTACTCTTATAATTCATGAAAATTAATAACAATAAAAAAATTCATAACTACTAACAAATCAATGCTGATGTAAACTATATCAAAGAATACTCGCAATTGTCGAAAGCAAGCTGAAGTGTTTAATCCACTGAGATGAAGTTATGCCGTCCTACACTCTAATACCTATAGTTGTACTTCATAAAAGATCTATACAGCATTTTTATAAATGTTACAGGAAGGCGATCTTTTGGAATGCTCAGAAAAAAATCGTACAGAGTTTCTATGCAAAAATACAAACCGAACAAGTCTTGTTTCAAGCTATAAATTATCATTACAAGAAATACACAGCTGGCAGCAGATAATACAACTGTTTATTTTATACTTAGTAGTTAAGACAAGTAAATTGTATGTGTAATACAATCAATGGCAATCGTGCTGTATCAGCCATCCGTGATGATATCGATATTTGTCAAATTAAGGAATAACAGTACTGTAGTTGAAGAGTTGTCGCTGTCAATTTCTTTTCTAATTTTCAAAGAGTAATGTTGAAATTTATCTTTTTTGAAAATTTATAGAAATTCTGCCAGCAGGTAAAATATATACTTTTTGAACAATTACCAACTTTTTGGTAAGTGTTCTGTGAGTAATTAGAGATATATCAATGATTGACACTTACATAACATGGCAATCTCTTGGCAATCTTCTTCTGGTCGTATTCATACCAAAAACTCTTCCTTCTTTTCTGTGAAGCATAAATTGGAAATGAGATTCCGTCTATTGTATACATAACTATATTAGATAATATTAGTTTCGACATAGTTTTTTTTTATAGTTTGTTGCATTGTGTCTGCCTTCAATTGAAATGAACTCGTACCATATTTTTCTATGGCGTATCATTGTTTTGTATATTACGGCGCGTTACGTTTGCGCGAAAAAATATCCACGTTTGCGTGAAATTTACCTGTTGGAAACTCCTACTACTTTTGCCTGGATTAATTAAAGTTTCTTTAAAAAAATTATTGAAAAGCTTTAAGACAAATATGATGAATTCTGAAATAAAACAAAATAGATTAAAATTTTAAAAAAATAACTGAGATGATAATTTGAAAATCGAATTGAAGATAGGAATACCATCTCTGAGACAAACAAAGGGGGAAAAATACTTGATATTCGATGAATATACTTTTCGTGAAGATATAGAGTAGAAAATGAAGAAATTTCAAGGAGATGCACCATAGAAAATATGCAAATGTAGAATAAAATCTTATCGCGAATGTAAAGTTTTGTTAGGCCAACAAACAAGCACAATCATGAAACTAACGAACTTCAATTAGAAAGAGAATAAATAGTACTGGTTATAGCGAAAGTTTAGTTGACTTTTAAATAAGCGGAAGCGATACCACTGCTCATTTGAAACGATACGCACAGACAAGGACATAAGTCAACATTCAGTTCACCATTGAACAATTTTTTTTTAATTTCATTCTGGAGAAATTTCACATTCATGTTATCCTAAATCGCTCCGAAGACTGACTTATAGATTGTTCTTGTCGAGAACATACACACTGTGTTTTATTCAAGACTTTGCTTTTACATGTTAATTTACACCAAGATGTCGTTAAATGAAATTGGATATCCTACATTTGTCATGCTTTTCAATAACATATGGTCAAATCGCTGAAAGACCCCCCTCCTAAATTATTGAAAACTATCATTCTGCATTGATAATAATATCTTGGTGTAAATTAGATACACCCAATCGGGCTAACGCCCTCATAGGTGTATCTAATACATAAACGAATAAAATAATATGTATTTATCAATATGATTAATCATTAAAAAAGCTGTTGTAAAATTCAGGTTATTTTCAGTATTAAACACAGATAAAACTCATGTAAATTGCAGGTAAATTCGCGCAAACGTAATACCAGTCAAAATTCAAATTCGCGCAAATGTAGGTCGCCCGTATATTATGTGTGCTAAGTATATAATCATTTACCTTTGGTGGTTTCTTCCTTAATTCGTAATTACGTTTCACCTGAAATAAGGACAGTTTGTTAATTATAAACTCTTATAGTTCAGATGCTATATGTAGACTGTGCTTAATTCTAAGTGAAGATAACTGTTCGCAATCTGTGTTTATCATTCCAGTAAAAGTAAGTTTTCTCACTCTAAATATTTTTTCCGTGATTACAACTTCTTTCGTAACGAATTTCACGACTCCAGAAGGAATCATAATATATAACTGATAATTGATTGGTAGTTAACGTCAAGTGACAAATACATCATGCAACTTACAAATAAATATAGACTATGCCTTGTTGTATAGCCGTATTTTACTTGAAGGCTTGCTTCTTCACAAGATAACAATGATTATCCGCAGGAATACATGTCACAGTTGCTGCACACATTATTCTGAATCCGAGCCAACTTTACTCCTAAATGCCGCGTGCATAGCAGGAAAGCAGGAAATGTCGGAAATTTAACCCACAACATTGAGCCAGAGGCGAGCACGCAACCACGAGACCACTGAGATTGTTGGGTTATAATTTTGAGGAAGGAAAGTTAGGGAAAAGCAACCACGCTATTCCAAACGTATGTTTAGTGATAGATTTTTATTTATAAAAAAAAATGGACTAAACTGGTAATTATATAAAATGTACGTAAAAGGATTGTGTGATTTATATCATCGTAAACATGGTAAATATGTCTAATAAGACGAGAGACCGGGATATAAAAATAAGGAGATGTGGTATGATGATACAACTATCCAACATATATCTTTTTAAATTCAAGTATATTAAGTAATGATTACCATTGTATTTTCACTGTTAGTCAGATCTTTTGTTCCATTGTCATTTCCATCACTGGTTTGTTCTTCTATGTCTTCCGTTGTATTGTCCTAACATGAAAGATACCAATAAAATACATGTCAGCTTTAATCTTATAATTTGTGTTTATAAAATCATGCCCCAAGTGTATATCATGTTCATCAACAATTAAGACTAGCAGAACCGAATGAAAGACTATCTAAAACACTTAAGGAATAGCAGTACTGTGTTTGATTTGCCAACGACTGCGATCGTCAGTAATCGAATAAACGGAATAAGTCATCTAACAAATGGCGTAACATATCAAATTGCATACAATCTGGAATCATTACATGGAAAAGTTATATTCCTAATTGAATTGGACAATTATTTGATGGTATTAATATTTTTAACACTTTTAACTTTTAAAAATAACTTAGTACATCAAATCATTTAAACATTATTTATTAAAAGAAATTCTTAGAATTTTCAAACTGTACTAACTTCTGCTATTTTCTCTTTCAAAATACAATAGAAATTCCAAGTTACTAGTATATTAATTTAAACAGTTTGATTTAGGATTTGTAACTGATTAACAAGACATGGGCGAGGAAATATTCGAGTCGCGCACGCGACAAGAATTTCCACGCCCCTTAACTTTACAAACTATAAATTATACTGTAAATGTTTCGCGTCATATACATATTCATAAAGTTTTTCCTGTGGCCAGTTCCAAAAGTCTTTGGACTTTTTTTTAACGAGAAAAAGCATTCTTTCAAACATGATAAACTAAGAGGGAGCTATGGAACTTACTATTTAAGATGGAATAATGCGAATGGATTTGACAAAAAGAATACCAGATATTATTGCTCGGAAGATTTTTTATTGCAAAACAATAGGACCTCAAACTCATTATGCTCTTTTTTATATTGGTTTACAACGTATTTATAATGCTCGTCCTGAAAATTCACGAGAAATATTCTTCACTGGAAATTCAGCAAAAGACTATTAAACACTCAAACCTTCGATGTAAAATTTCGCTAAAACATGTACAATTTGCCATATTTTATCATGTCTTCAACAGAAATGTCTTAAGCTATCATTGACAATTTGACATCAACTTATAGACATATTGGAAAGGTTGTTGCAAAATTCTTTCGATATATATTATTCCTATTTTTAAATTCAACTTGGTTTCATTAACTTTGGGATTGTTCACCGTGGTTTAAACAATTCAAAGGGGGTAATAATCGTATATTTTTTAAAACATAACTCCTTATCCATCTTTAGAATCGCCATGCTGAAATTCGATTTCTTTTAAGATATTAAGTACTAAAAATGACATAATTATCGGATCCGTGATCATTATTAATTTTTGTAAAGTGTTGAAAGCATAGAGAAAATGTTCTAAAGGCCCGTTGTCACTATCAAAGTTTTCTTGTACAAGTTTTCTTGGTCACAGTGATGGATTGTTTTATAGTGACAACCGTCAAAGAAAACTTTGATCAAAAACTTGGACGGACTTGTATGGAATAGAATCTAATCCTATTTTCTAAGGGAATTATCCAATCACAGTGTAGTCTTTTCTTTGACCAAAGATGAAAAACTTTTGATAGTGACAACCGATGACTTGGACCAAGTTTACCTGGTCAAAGTTTTTAGAGACCAAGTTTTTGATCAAAAACTTTGATAGTGACAACAGATGACTTGGACCAAGTTTACCTCGTCAAAGACAACTTTTACCATTTTAACTTTGATAGTGACAACCGGGCTTCAAACATATTTAAAAATGATAACTACTTTTTAATGCTGATTTTAAAAAAAAATTATTTGCGGGTTAACGATGTTCAAGATAAAATTAAATGGATTTATAGCATTTCTAAACATCCTTACGATTTATAGACCAACCATTTTCATATGAAAACAAATTGAACCCTGACACAATGGGTTTTAATGATATGTGAATGGTTTAATAATTACCGTTGTAACCTCATTCTGAATGATCCCCTCTTCATAATTTTCTTCTACATCTGTACTACCAATTTTTTCGTCGATGCCCTCTGTACCAGTTTGACAAGTGTCCTTCTGTGAAATATTTCAAGAATTAAAACATACGTGTCTTAAATTGTAACAGAAAATGTATACATTTGACGTTATTTTTTAAATTTGATTTAATATTTAAAAGTGTCCGACAACAGTTATAAAAAATTCTTTTGTTGTTTCTGGTTTCACCATGTCTTTCACAATTTAATTCAACATATCATAGTGTACTTTACTCTATACCCTAAACGCAGCAAGAGACTTTTGAAAAACTAAATCCGTTTTTGTCTTATTTTTATTAGGAATCGTTGTAAATGATCGTACTTTTGAAAGAAGATTATAAGGACAATTTTTTTTTATATAAAATGTCAAAAACCAATAACCATCTTTAACAAATATATCTTTAGTTCTATATAAAACCGTGTATTGCTGTTCCTTTTAATTTTTTTCGTTAATACACCTTAATGGTGCTGATGATAATATGTAAAAAGGTGACTTAAATTATTATTTCCAATGCAATTAAGAACAGATGGCGAGGAAGTCAACTTCTACATGTGATGTAAATTATATATGTATTCTGGATCAAAAGATATGAACGAGGGTCGGATGTATTTGAACACACTTTCATTTGTTTTCTTCTTCTTCTCCTTCATAACAAGTAACACTATTGTGTTGGATTTTGGCTTGCCTGCTTGTCTCTTAACTTATTGTGACATTTTCCTTAAATATTTTACACGTTTTGGCGAGTATTATATGCATGGATAGACTTTGCACAATCTAATAAAAGTACATATCCTATGTCCACGATTGGCTTGTAAACGAAGCGTGGACGAAGGATCTGGGTTTCAATCAGATTGGACTTTGCATATGTGGGTAATTTTTTAGTTGACTATGAAATCAGTAGTAGCTAAATACTCTATACTAGTATCTGATAAGCGGGACTTTTTTGGTCATATTTTACCTGCACAATGTAAACTGCTCCAGGGTGAAAACAATGGCTCCTTATTAATTGACATACATCGCTTGATGGAAGTGTACGTTGTGCTTTCACTTTCGGATCTATGAAGATAAATTGATCGTTGATTATTGGAATTGAAATCCAATGTGCTTCGTTAAACTTTCTAATTATCAATCCCTTTATTTCTTCGAAGGACATCAGATTGTTTATGATTTCATTATCTTCTGTGGAAGAAAGGACATCATGTTGCAGTCTTGTCGTCGAATATGACCGCCTCTCGAGAGTTTGGATGATGACTTCTCCACTATAAAATCCCTCTCTGTCACGAAGTGCAGGTATCGGAAACGTTAGCGGAACTATGGGATCTCCAGCCATATTCAGCCACAGTTCATCTGCGATGTAATCCATGTCCGCTATTAATACAGGAAATATTCCGTCAGGGCTTGAACCAATGATGTTATTTACTGCACACAAACCACAGTAATTTGTAGGTCCCTGCCACTGTATATACGATCCTGCAACAAAAATGCTTGACACTTCTGACAGTCTTCTCTCCGATGGACATTTAAAGAGAACATTTGATACATAGTCCATGTTCAGTGATATAGCCCGTCTTTCTTCGTCAGAAAGGTTGTCCCAGGTGTTTGTGAGCTCTCTTATTTTTTCCTCAAAAGTAGACAGCATTAAAGAGGAATAGATCGAATAATTCTCCCTGGCTGACGAGTTTAGTGCGCTCTGTATTTGCGATAGCTCCTGAAAATGTAAAGGAACTGCGCAAGGTGATCTATCAGTCATACTAGTAGCTGTAGGGCAAGTATTCTGTGTGGTGACATCTGATGGCTGACCAACGTTTCCTGATCCATGATCTTCTCGTATTTCCAAATTCTCAACAATTGATGTTTGTATACCATTGATGTCGTCTCCAAACTGCTGACATAACTGACCTAACTGGTTTAAAGACATCTCTAATCAGGCCTTTAGTTTTCTCGTTTGAATTATTTTACATTTGTCATTTCAGAGCCTTTTATAGCATGCATTGCGGTATGGGTTTTATTCATCGTTGAAGGCCATACGGTGACCTATATATAGTTGCTAACCTTCTACGTCATTTGCTTTTTGGTGGAGAGTTGTCTCATTGGCTACCATACCACATCTTCTTATTTTTATATTTATTTCAATAATGTGTTTCATCAACAAAAATCTAATACACAATTTGGTTTTATCATATTAGTGACAGGTTTAATGCAATGAGGCAGCATTCCTTTATATTTCGATTTTTTTTTTTGGGACATATTTGCACTCGTTTACTAAGTTGCCTCATCAATATACATACGATTAACAAGGGAAAATGTTTACCATGTCTGACTCCAGGACTTATCAACTCTTGTTCCACTTTCTTCCAAAATGAATCCATATCAACTGTTTCGGGTAATTCTGTAAAATCTGCCGGTGCAACCATATCTGAAACTGTACCAGACATGACAATGCAATCAAATCGTTAAATTATTTCTACTGCAAGTCTGAGAAGCTAAGCCTCAAAAATTAAGCAAAGACATATTCAAGGGAATGATTAAAATATCTGCGACTGGAGTATTGGTGTATAACTATTCTGTCAACTCACTTGTTCCTTAAATGTCATTGCAAGTGAATTTAAACAACATTTTAATATGAAGGTGGGAAACCAAAAACATACTTTTGTTTTATTATTTTACTACCTATTTCTTCTGCATGGTGTAAATAAATAAATATAAAGCTTTTACTCCAATTCATGTTGTATCTCGAGAACATTGTTGGAGATCTTATAGTTATTTTCATTTAGGAAATATTGTGTGTAATGATATTAATTAAGGACGTATAGCAAGTTAGTAATATGCAGTGATTTGTAATTATATCCTTCTTTGGTTTGTTATATCAAAGTTAGAAGAATATACGTGACACAGAATAAAGGAAGTCAATCAAATTTGCGTAACTGTAAGGCAAAAGGTTGTCTAGAAGGTTGTCTAGAATGGATCAAGTGTGACAAATTGTATAAAGTGAAGGATTTATTCTTCGAACCGCATGCTTTAAAACGATAATCACAAAAACGTGAAAGCCGACCTAGACTAAATCAGGGGACTTTTTAAAATTTGTGTGAACACAATTATATCATATATATATATATGGATAACTAATACTTATACCAACCGGCATGTCGAAAACAAGTCTTTCGTATACCGTCCATCACAATCGTTGTCGGATAGAAGCCACACAGATAGCAGTAGAAAGAATATGAATGCTCAGTTAGTGCTTCAAACATCAAATAAGCATTCGTTAGGTCATGAAGCCTCAGATTTTCGTCTAGTGTATCTGCCAGCATGTTTATCGTTCTACTAATTGCCACATGATTCTATAAGAAGAGTAAACATTTCCTTATTAAATATTTCAATCAAACTTTCTGTTTCGTGATCCATCATCTTAATAGAAAACTGCAAAATAAGTCGACTTAATAAATTCTTCTACATCCAGGTCCATGTGCTCCACAGTGATTCAAATAGTAAACAATCATATCATAACCACGTTTCAGCTTAAGGCCTCCTCTGATCATTTGAAGGTCCCTATTTAAATTGGTTACTTAAATTACATTAAATATTGTTTCATCTCGGTCTCTAGTAGGTGTTCTACCACCAATCTTTCAATTCTTTTAACTAGTTCCCTTACTACTATCAAAGAAATCATTATCATTTGTGAAAAAGCATATGAAAGAAATGAAATAAACTATTTTGGAGTGTAAAAAATTCTTTGGATGTTTTATATATAAATAATTGGGTTGGGTGCCCGCAAACATGTTTAACCCTGCCACATTCTGTATTTGCCTGTCCCAAGTCTGAAACCTGTAAATCAGTGGTTGTCGTTGGTTGCTGTATATCATATTTGTTTTTCGTAAATTCTTTTGTACATAAATCAGGCCGTTAGTTTTCTCGTTTGAATTATTTTACAATTCATTTCGGGGCATTTGATAGCTTTCTATGCGGCATTGGTTTTGTTCATTGACGAAGGTCGTATGGTGACCTATAGTTGCTTACATTTATATCATTTTGGTCCCTGGTGGAAAGTTTTCTCCTTGGCTATCATACCACTTCTTCTTATTTTTATAAAGATTAATAAAATGCTCCGCTGGGCGCAGCTTGATACGACCGCAGAGGTCGAACCCTGAACAGTTGGGGCAAGTATGGACACAACATTCAAGCTTGATACAGTACTGAATTTGGATTGTGATTAAATATTTGACACAGCATAGGTTTCTGACACAGAATGAATGTGGTCTAAGAACTTAAAATTTTTTATTTTACCTATTCAAACCATATCATTATTATTTGCTTTTATATATAAATCAGAAATAACCCATTTATAAAATGGAAAATTTTAAAGAAAAAAAAAATCCCTCCCCTAAATTTTTTGAACCCCCTTATGATTCATCACCCCCAAACTCAATCCCAGACTTCCCTTTGTGGTATGGTACCTTGCAGTACAATTTCAGAGAGATCCATACACTTGAACACAAATTATTGTCTGGAAACTAGAAAAAGGCTTGTTTTTAGGCCCCTTTTTGGCCCCAAATTCCTAAACGTTTAGGGCAATTACCCCCAAAATCAATCCCAGCCTTCCCTTTGTGGTGTGGTACCTTGCAGTACAATTTCAGAGAGATCCATACACTTGAACACAAGTAATTGTCTGGAAACTAGAAAAATGCTATTTTTGGCCCCTTATTCTTTTACGTTTTGGGCAATTACCCCCAAAATCAATCCCAGAATTCCCTTTGATATATGGAACCTTGCACAACAATGTCAGAGAGATCCATACATTTACACACAAGTTATTGTCATAAAACTAGAAAAATGCTTGTTTTTTGCCCCTTTTTGGCCCCTAATTCCTAAAATTTGGTGGCAATTACCCCCAAAATCAATTCCAGCATTCCCTTTGTGATATGGAACCTTGTGGTACAATGTCAGAGAGATCCATACACTAACACACAAGTTATGTCTGGAAGTTACAAAAATGCTTATTTTTGGCCCCTTTTTGGCCCCTAATTCCTTAACTGTTGGTACCATAACCCCCAAAATCAATCCCAACCTTCCTTTTGTGGTATTGAACCTTATGGTAAAATTTCATGGAGATCCATTCACTTAAACTAAAGTTAGAGTGCGAAAACCAATGTGTCTTCGGACGACGACGACGACGACGCCAACGTCATACCAATATACGACCAAAAAATTTTTAATTTTTGCGGTCGTATAAAAACAGGAATCCCTGCTAACTGCTCGTAGTGTATATCAAAACAAAAGATGACGATAAAAAACACAGCCGACTTGTGTTGGATATAAATTGATTTCAATTTCGGATTTTCTGACGTTAAAGCGTCAGTACCTAAATGGGAAAAATGAGCATTTGATGTCATGTTCAATGTTATGTTGCACATCAAGTGCAATAATTAACATATTCTTAGTATTACTTAAATTATCAAACTATTTCTAGATTTTCTTAAATTCAATCACGTATTTTTTTAAAAGCTGAATTATAGCTTAAAAAACTACAATAATTATGAATCATATTTAGGTCGAAACAGAATGTGTACTAGTATTTAATAATTACCGAACGTTTGAAGTTTCTGTCCTTTATGATATGAAAGCTGATTGGATACTATGAGATTTATTTGTCACGCCTTCACAAATTATCGTCCTATATGTGTCAGGCTTTCATCAATACTATTACTCATGTGACTGACCGTATCCTCCAATAATTATTTTTTAACGCATACCGCAAGTTATTGTCATTTGATGAATTTAGAAGAGACTTTAACTCTTAAATAGAAGATTGCTCTACAACACTTGCCACTTTACATTTTGCCATTGCATTTAAACTTGCATGTAATTAAAACATTTCAATATAGATAAATGTTTCATTCGCTTTAACCTTATCATTCTAGGAACTTAAACTTTTAACAGGGGCTGACTTGAGGTAATAAAAAATTAAAATAAAAGTTAGTTCTTTACTTGAAAACAAAATTTAGAATTATATTTTTGAAAAGGTAAAATTCTCAAAATATTCGATCATACAAATAAATTTCAGAATACAGGAGCAATTACGGAATTGGTAAATATACTATTAAGGGTTCATAAAAATGCGTTTTGTCGCTACAAAACAGTGAATAAAAGTTTTATTTAACACAACGAAACATCCGCTAATGTTTCATTGCATGCATGCACAGTGCACAAATTCAATAAAATATTAAGTCATCAGGAATGTTGTTTTTTCGAAGAAAAAAAATCATAATGTATATTTAGATTTCTATTTATTGTGATTCATGATATGTTTGGCATTATATGTGATGTGGGGTGATTTTTTCCTGTTTTGTGGAAAACGTTAATTACAACAATTTGTTTTTAGTGTGTAAAATGCAATCAGGTGTATTGGCTAAAACATATGTCACGCGGTATTCTCTCAAAACTGGTTGACAATGTTTATGCGTTTGAACAGATCTTTAGCTATACCTGTAAGCCAGCTCTAATTAGATGACAAGCATCAAACCCAATGAATGTTGAATCATCGTAATTGTGAAGACCGTCACTCCATTCTTGATACCTATACTCCATTCCGCATTTAGAGCACACTTTATTGTAAACTGAAATATCTGAAATGTATAATAGATCCAGTGAATTTTCCTGAAGGCAGTTAGCAAGTACTGGTAATAGTTTATTCAATCTACATGAACTAGATACATTAATTAAACCTATGCAGCAGCCAACTGTAGTGTGTAAACTTTTATTTAAGTTTTATGCCGAGTTTGATTTGTATGTAAATGTCACAAACTTCGAAGTTTAAATAACAATAAAATTTTGGATTGAACCGATTCGGAAGTTTTATAATTACATCCACTTAAATTGTAAAACTTAAAAAACGGATAGTTTATTAACGGGCATGACATA